CTTTTGTATGGTCACAGTTACTTTTTCTGTTCTAATTCCTTTGATCCATTACTACCGGTTTCGTACATATCCAAACCCACGCAGGCACATTCACATGCTTCCAGGTTGGCATATGACTTGAACTAGCCAAAACACTTTATACACATCAGAGCTTAAATATAGACTATATACACAGCATTTATGGATGAGCCGGCGAGTTTCCTTGACTCGTTAGCTCGAATATGGTTGTGATGCTACCCTGGACGAAAGCCTAGCATGTTTTCACCGGAATCAAAGGAGATTGCCTCGAAAACGGCGTCAACAAGACTGTTCCAATAAAGTCAATCGACAGCTAATCAAGAGACATGGATATTACAACCATATAGATATTCTGGAAAACAATTTATTTAAACTATAATTGTTATGAAAAAGACAAAATATTGGTTAATGCTCAGTTTTTGCATCAATATTTCTTTATCTTAATAGTATGTTAAATTTTATTCGGGTCTCAAATAAATCGAATGTAAAGACCAAGATGGTGAGAGTGAGCCTAATCAAGGCAATCAGACAGCTACTACCTTTAGTAGTTGACACATTAGAGACTATGGAATAGGAGAATAAGAGACTTGGCATTATGTACAACAACATGAGAGATGTAACGGGGACCAGATATAGTTGGCCTACAGTACATCAGTTATACCAAAGACGTGATTCATGAAGTGAAGGCTTAACGACGAGATTTAGCCGGTGCACATGCTGAATGATGTTGGGAGAAACAGCAGCATTAAGTTAGTTTTTATCCAGCTTGAAAATTCAGATTTTGGCGGCCTATTTATTGAGGCTAGATTATACGTACTACCAACGGCTTGAGGTAGAGCGTGAGAAAAAACGCCTCGAGTAGCACAGATATCGTAGCAGTGATCGAGAGGAGTCAGTGAACCAGAAAGAAATCAAAACTGTTTAGCAGACAGTTGGCCAAAAAGTGAACTATATCGTCTCTTTGACAAGTTATAAAAGAGTGCCAAATATGGCAAGACTCACTAATGATGCCGAATATGATATAGGCGAAACGTCAATGAATGTACCGAGTCCACGGTTTGACGCTTGAAATTAACATGGATACTCTGCAGGACTGTGAACAAGGTGAATTTATTTAGGTCTATGACAATACTACCAAGTTGCGAAGAGATCAAAACACTTCTAGAAAACCAAATAATGTTGCAAAAATATAAATTATTCAATAAAAAAGAAATCCCATAATAAAATTAATGCAATTATAATCTGATGAGATTAATTTCATATTAACTCCTCTTTAAAACAGTTGATGATAATTTAGTCTCCGGTAAGCCAAATCTATAAGTCCCAAACCGATAAAGCAGTAGTCATCTCAATAAGAATTTAGTGAGGCATCATGTGTAAAAAATAACTGACTTAAGTGACTCAATGACTAATAGTAAACTTACCCTGAGATTCTGCGCGTCAAAAGGAAGAGAACCACTGACAAGTGTGTAAAGTATAACGCCCAGAGACCATACGTCAACTTCAGGTCCAGTGTAGCGCTTTCCTTGAAAAAGCTCAGGTGCGGCATATGGTGGGCTACCACAAAAAGTGTCGAGTTTCTTACTTCCGCCATATAAGTTGGAGAAGCCAAAATCAGCTAACTTGATATTCAGATCAGAATCAAGAAGAAGATTTTCAGCCTGTTTCGATTTTTTAAAAACAAATAAAGTAGTCGAAAGAAATTGAAAACATAAAAAAGGGACCAGTTTTGTCATAAAATGTGACACCAATCCTTAATTATAGAGTGAAAAAATTCGCAAGTAAATAAAAAGATGGTGAAGCCTTCTTTATTTCCACTATCTTCTGTTCTCTATGCATTAGATTTAATTTGGTTTAAACAACTTGATCGCAATGACTGCGTGACCTAGAAGAAAAAACTTAGTATTGCATCTTCAATCAGTGTTATATAACAAGTTCATTCAGCAGCGTCGCTATTCTAATAAATCATAGTAGATTTAGCAGCATTAAAGACAGAATCAGTAGTGAGGGGAAAAAAACACTGAAGCACAATTCTAATA